TTTTTGCAAGGGGCCTGGAGATGCTTTAACAGTTGTGATGTGCAGAGCTGTAGTTCTTACTTGGGGGCTGTGTTGTTTTGTGTAGAACCCCAGTTTTTGGTACCAGGGATTGAACTCATGACCTCACATTTGCCAGGCAGGCACTTATGCCACTGAGCTATATCCCTAGCCCCAGCAATCCAAATTATAACAATGAGATTCCACTTTACTCCAGAAAGAAGATCTTCAAGAATCAAATACTATAACACATGCAGTAATGACATTTTGAGGTCTCTACATTGCTTGAGAAATGTAAACTATTATAACCACTATGGAAATCGTTATGGAGATTTCTCAAAAAACTAGAAATTCTATTTGTCCCAGATCTTCCCCTTCTAGGTATCTTCCCAAATTGTTAAAGATACCATATTATAGTGATACACGCACACCCATGTTTATAACAGCACAATTTGTAACAGCTAAATCTTAGAAACAGTATATGTGTATCAACAGATGAATGGATAAAGAAAATGTGGTATTTATGCACAATGGAGTACTACTCTACCATAAAGGATAATTTGAGTCATTTGTAGGAAAATGGATGTACCTTGTAATAATGTTAACTGAAGTAAACCAGACACACAAGTGTAAATATATGGTTTCTCTTTCGTGAAAAACCCGAAGTTTAAACAATTTAAAGAGCAAAATAAAAGACAAATGATAAGAAATAGGGAGACAGACCTTTTACAAATGGGAAGGGGAATCAAGAAATGGGCGGGAAAGTAAAAAGAATTAAAATGTGTTACGTACATGTACCAACTCCCCACAGTAAATGTAATCATTAGGTTACATTCAAAGATGAAAAAAAAAAAAGGTAAGCCCAGTGTGGTGACACATGCCTATAATCTCCAGCACTCTGGGCTGAGGCAGTAGGATCAGAAGTTCAAGTTCAGCCTGAGTAACTTAGTAACTTAGCAAGACCATGTCTCAAAATAAATAAAAAAGGCTGGGGATGTGGCTCAGTATGAAGGCCCTGAATTTAATCACCAGTACTGGGCTCAGTGGCACAGTTCCTACCTGGCAAGCTCAAGGTCATGAGTTCGAGTCCAGATACCAAAAAAATGTAATCAATCACGAGTACTACAAAACAAACCCCAGAGTTGCCTAAGCTGTGAGTAAACAGGTGTGGGCGCAAGCGCACATAAATAAATAATATATGCATCATTAACATACAGAATATATACATAAAATCTTTCAAAAACACTTAAGCCTTAGAAGGCAGAATGTCAAAGGAGGAGATGACTTTTGAGGCTTATCATGTTCAATTGCTTTTCTCGGATGAAGGAGGCAAGTCAAGAACCCGGTGAGGCTACAGTTCAATGCACAACTTTCAGGGGCAGAGACTCCTACCTGCAGAGCCACAGGCCCTTAACATTACTCACAAAGGGCTTCCTTGTCTGTTTTGACTCTCACCAAAGCCTGATGTTTTTCACAGGTGAGAAAGCAGGTTCAAAGCATTTGGAAGATCTGCTTCAACTGCCTCGGTACTCACCCCAATCCTGAGTGCTACACCCTTTCCCACCACATGGCACAGCTGCCCACAGCCTTCGGGATGGCTGAGGCAGCGCAGTTCCAGCCTTGAGCACAATCTGACAAGGCAGGTACTCAAAAATAAATGCAGTGGGGGTACAGCACAGTGGTGGAGCACTTGCATGGCACACATATGGGCCTTTGTTCAATCCCCATCTCAAAAAAAAAAAAAAAGGAAGCGGCGGGGTGTGGGGGATGGAGATTGATTAATGGGTGAATGCCCAACATCCAGGAAGAAAGCTAAGCCAATTACAGTTGACTGAGACGCTATTAGGAGACTTTTAGGATGATGTTGCTAACTGAAATCCACATGGATGCCAATGTCAAACCATACGGGACAGCCACATGTCCCTGTCTCCGAGCAGGTCTGCAGAAACTTCACCCCCGTTAGCTGGCGCTGAGTCACCTGACTGTGCTACTCCAGTCTCTTCCCAAAATGCCTAAGCCAGTGTCCCAGGAGCCTGCCCAGGACATCCTGAGGTCTGCAATGCCAAATCCAGGTTCTTCCCATTTTTAAGGTCTTGCCATTCAACTGACCAACCCCAGCTGCTTCCTGCATCACTGGTGTGCCCTAGCCTTTAGCCTCTGCAAGACACACTCCTCTCCACCCCCATCCCAGCCCCATCTCCTTTCTTTTCTTCTTACCTGTATCCTTTGGTGAGGCCTAGACTTGGCTATCTCGACAATTAATGAATACTGGTCCCTTCTCCCTCTTCCATAAAAAGGGGGTCAGCTAGCCGCTTTGTTTTGTTGTTTCTAGTGAAAGTAGATTCAGACAGGTGTAGTGACACACACCTGTAATCCCAGTGCTCAAGAAGCACAGGCAGGAGAATCACTGTGCGTTTGAGGCGAGCCTTGGTTACATAGTTCAAGGCCAACCTGAACTACATATTGAGATCTGGTTTCAAATGAACAGAAAAATTCACATCACGAAGAATTCAAGAAACTGTACACTGGCACAAAGCCCCATATCAGAAGACCTGGGCCTCAAGGCCTGGCTTAGACCCCACTTCCATCTCTCCCACTTCTCCCCAGATGTTCCCAGAGGTCAGAACCCCAGACTGATTATCAGGCAGATCTCTTCTCCCAGGGACACAGATTCTTTATATGTGGATGCTGTAGCTAGGGGTTTACAAGGGGAATAATACAATACAGGACACATTTTATAACAATATTTTGTAAGGCCAGGGATATAGCTCAGTGACGTAAGTGCCTGCCTGGCAAGTAAGGTCCTGAGTTCAATTCCCAGTACAAAAAAAGAAAACAAACAAAACAAAATAAAAAAAACACTTAAATTTAGCTGGAGTGGTGGTGGACGCCTGTAAGCCCAGCACTCAGGAGGCTTGAGGCAGGAGAATCACTGTGAGTTTGAGACCAGCCTGGGCTACAAGTGAGCTTAAGACCAGCCTGAACTGCATAGCGAGACCCTGTCTCAAGAAGACCAAAAAAAAAAAAAAAGGAGTATTTTGTAATAGTCACCCAAAGAATCACATACAAAGAGTGTGCAGGAAATCTGTTCCCACACTAAAGACCAAAGAATCCAGCTGAGGGTCTGGATCCCAGTGTAATGTCCTGTATGAGTGCAGCTGAAGAGCTAGCTAGAGCCCATGACAATACCCCCCGTGAGTCCAGCTGGAGGCCTAGAACCCATGACAATGTCTCATGCAGGCCTGTTTCATGGATCTGCACTGAGAAGGCCCAAAGTCAGTGGTGGAAGCTAGAAAGTCTGTGCCAGTGAGATGCAGGATCTGTGCTAGCAGGCTGAGAGATCTGCACTGGAGCCAGGAAGTGACACTCCCAAGTAAAAACCAGAGCTCCCCTGAAAAGTACCACAGCCATCCTCAGCAACAGTGAGGTCCCGAGTTCCTCCATCGATGAGGACAGCTGAGTTTCCATCAGGAAAGCCAACGCAACAAGCTCCTCCAAGAAAACCTATAGTTTCCCTACAGCTTCTAACAGCCTCACTTCTCCAGTTCTGCCTCTTATGCTGCTGGCAACAACCCTCAGGTGGGCCTCCCACTCCCAGCACCACACTGGTTCAGTTCAGCTGAGTGTTACAGGTTGACCATCAGTTGTAAATCCACCACAGTGGGGGAAAAAGGAGAGAGATTTCTTGCCACAAATATATTTGTACAAGAGTGGTGTTAGGGATCAAACCCAGAACCTCATGCATGCTAGACCAGCACTGTACCACTGATCTACATCCCCAGCCCGCAATAGATTTTTTATTTGTTTTTTTTTTTTTTTAATTTAGAAAAGAAGCGTGTCAAAATTGAATGAGAAGCCAGTTGTGGTGGCACACACCTGTAATCCCAACACTTGGGAGACTGAGGCAGAAAAATTACTGCACGTTTGAAGACCACCCTGAACTATATGTAGTTCAGACTGTGTCTTAAATAACAAACAAACAAACGAGAGGGCCTGGAGTTGAGGCAAACATCTGTAGTCCCTTCTACTCTGGAGGCTGAAACAGAAATGACT